GAAATCTTCGCCATTCTACAATGTGCGAGAGAAAACAATAGAAGAGCTTATTCAGATAAGCTCATCAATATATGCTCAGACAGTCAGGCGGCACTTGGGGCGCTTATGAGCCCAAAGGTATCGTCGAGACTCGTCTGGGAATGCCTAGGTGAACTGGAAGCTCTGGCTCGACGGAACAGAATTAAATTATTCTGGGTGCCGGGCCACAGCGGCATCCAAGGCAACGAAAAAGCCGATGAGCTAGCTAGGCAAGGATCATCGGCATCTTATCTTGGTCCAGAGCCAGTACTGGGAATACCCAAATGTATGGCCCGTAGTGCATTAAATCTCTGAATCAGGGAAAAGCAGAATGTCCACTGGAGAAACACACAGGGGCACAGGCACAGCAAGGCTTTTATCCAAGGACCTAGCTCCAAAACCGCAAAAGAACTGCTAATGCTTAGCAGGAATAAATTGCGGATTACAACAGGCCTCTTGACAGGACATATGGCTATCAAGTGTTACCTGAACAAGCTCAATCTGTATCAAGGAAGTCTTTGCTGCAGACTCTGCGATAAAGATTCTGAAACAGCGGAGCACATAATATGTCACTACGAGGCTCTGGATCGCAAGCGACACTTTTTATTTGGGAAAGCTAGGCTAGAACCGGAGGAACTATGCTCCCATCCTATCAAGGACCTGCATAAGTTAGTGCAGGGCACAGGGATAGGAGAATGGGTGCAGATATAGAAAGGGGACAAGCACAATAGGACTCACAGGTCGCAGTGTTTCCGGCAGAGGACGGCCCCTTATTGTGGAAAAAAAGGGGTAGTGAAGCGATACATATAGCCTAGCTTACCGAAAAGTCAACCTCACCTTCACGTGGTGCGCCCTGTTTACACAAACGAGGGTCTGACGTCCGAGTATAGGCGGTATAACCTTATACAATCCTCAGACCTACCATCTTTCTGGGGAAGAGGAGTAGTGGAGTAGTAAACTACTCCTAGCCGGCCGAGAACGTAGCACAAGGAAACTATCGTCGCGGTCCTCACTGTGCCATAGTCATCCCGTGCTACAGTTGCAGCCAAAACTGTGCAGTTGCAGCCAAAACGTGTTGCAGCCAAAACAGTTAAACCTTTTCACGCAGCTAACACACATCAATGATGGAACATTCGAGTGGGACAAAATCATCATCCGGAGGTAAAATACCCCCTCAATCGGATCTCCGGGAGGGGGTGCCTACTCGAGCGTATCATCGGAGAAACAAAAAACATCAATGTTTCACGTTTGCGACGTGGAACGTCCGCACTCTACTGGACAAGATGAATTGAAATCGACCAGAGTAAGAACAGCACTGGTCTCACAGGAACTCCACCGATTAAATATAGATGTTGCCGCTCTAAGCGAAACCCGCTTTGCGGGTGAACGTAGTCTCACTGAGGAGCATTACATCTTCTTTTGGAAAGGTCACCCCGCAACACACTGGAGAATTCATGCCGTAGGCATTGCAATCAAAAACGAAATCGCCACCAAATTAACAGAAGTACTTATTGGTGTCTCCGAACGTCTTATGACCCTAAGGTACCCCATATCAGACAAATTTTACATCAACATCATTAGTGCCTACGCTCCCACCCTAGACGCTAAAATTGAGGATAAGGATAAATTTTACCAAGCCCTACAAAATGCTCTCCAACGAATTCCAAAACACGAACGAATCATTTTGCTAGGTGACTTTAATGCTCGTGTCGGTAGACAACAGGAAATATGGCCTAAGTTGCAACAGAGACACCTTAGACAACTCCATCATGTCTCAAACGTATCGGTCCTTGAAAAAGCTAACTGCGAGAGTATTGAAGTCATGGTCACAAAATCCCGCTTAAGATGGGCCGGTCACGTATGCAGAATGCAAGAAAACCGCATACCAAAATCTCTACTCTACGGTGAGCTTGTAGACGGTAAGAGGAGTGGACAACTCAAAAGTAGACGGGTGGACAACTCAAAATGTACAAGGACATTTTCCACGAAAACTTAAAGGGGATTAACATGCAGAATCAGTGGGAAGAAGCAGTTTACAATAGAACTCAATGGAGAAGAATTGTAAACTCAGTTAAGAGCGACAACCAAAAAGTAAAGAGGCAACAAAGCAATGAGATTTTTGAATGGAGTGCGGCAAATAACATCACGAATCGGGCTTTTCAGTCACAGAAAAGCTCATGAAAGAAAATGCCTTGCGTGACCATCTTTTGATGCGTGTCGAATACTCGTCAGCGAGTAATGGCAGTATGTATGTATGTATATGTCCCCTTAATATACACTTCAGCAGATTGAAGCTAAGAAACAACAGCGAATGCAGATTCTGTGCTGAAAATAGAGAAAAACCAGAGGTGTTCTAGTGTGCCGAAACTGATAGTGGAAGTGAAGAACTAACCTTTGTAAAACCGTCTCAGATACTGACTTAGGTCGTCGTTTCTAAGGTAACTTGATTGACCGTAACTTGGCCGTTTTTGTATTCAATCATGTGGTATTCAAGATTAATTAATGTGGCATTTTCATATCTACAATTGCGTTAAAAATGGTTTCATTTAATTACTTTTTCACCTTAATTATACCCCGAATGTAATAGATAAAGTTATTTAATTAGAATTTTCCCGTATTAAAGTCCCAAATACCTGTAAGTTCGTGACACCGCATAGGTCCGTAAAATGATTTTTACTCGAAAAAGACTAAAAGCATTCCTGGTGCGGCGGTCACACAGGTGTCGAAAACCGACATGAATATTCTATTTCATCTTAACCCAGCTCGTTTATTGGTCGGAACGGCATTATCTCGGTTCCAACTAACGGCAATACTAACTACTATTAATGGCGAGGCCTGTATCAAATAAACCGAAATTTATGCGTTTATTATGCCGGAGCTACATTCCCAGACGTCACTGCTGTTGAGACGAAATATTGAAATATTAATTCGGCTTTCTCGATAGATATACACGACGAAATATCTCGGAAATTACTAGAAATGGTTCAAGTTGCAAGTTGTTTGAAAAGTAATTAAAAGTAATGGTTTTAACATCGAAAAAGTTTCTGTTATGCTATGGTGTAAAGAGACTCAAATTGGCGGTAAAGTGTTACAGTTGTTTGTTCAAAATTCATTCAAGGCCACTCTTTCCGGGACCCCACCATGTTGAATTTACCTTATACAGGGTGGCCCATCGAAAACGTTCCGCAAGGCATAACGGCCAGGGAATTTTTTTTTCAAAAAATCCAAAAACACGTCAATTTTGTTTGTGAGGGGGACAACTTTTGCCCCAAAACTGATTGCAAAATCTTCAACCCTCTAAGCGGGGCTGTCATCCCCCAACTTTTTTCAAACGGGAAGGGGGGTCAAGTGGCGCAGCAATGAAAAGAGCTTTCTATTCTCTATATTTCCCCGCTTCGTTTTTGAAAATCGGTCGAGTCATTGAGAAAATATGAAGGATTGAAATTTGAAAAGTTTATTTAAACATTTATCGGAGTAAATGATAAGGATAAATTCCTTCGACCAATTTGCTGTTTTTTCTTATTATTTCTAGATGTTTACGCATTTTTTCACTTGCCACAAGGTTGAACGATCATATCAGGTGCGGTAGTTCCTAGATAGCTGTTCTGTGACTTGTGCATTGAAGTTCTTCTCAATATCGTTAAACTGACACAAAATAGAATTTCCAAAAATACCAGCCCACACGTTCAATTTCTGAGGGTTTTGTGTGTGCACCTCGTGAAAAGCCCTTTAGCCCAGTACCGACAGTTATGCCGATTAACTGCACCGTTTAAAAAGAAAGTACTCTCCTCCGAAAAACACATTAAATAGGAAATTATTTTCCTTCGCCACTCGTTCACTCATAGTTTCACAAAATTGCAAGCGACGATCAAAATCGTCTTCGTAGAGTTCATGTACCAACTGAATTTTCGGGTGGAACTTGTGTTTTTTTAATATCCTTCGGACACTTGTACGATTCCCGCCGGTCTCATTGACTAATTTTCTTGTACTCAGCGTACTATCCATGGCAACTTGGCCCAATACGAATACCTCCATAGCTTCATTTACTACAGGATTTTCCCTCTGCCTCTTTTTATTCATAACGGAACCAGTTTCGCGAAATTTTGCTACTAACTAGCGAACAATTTTGCCATAAAGGTGTTTGTCAGGATGGCATTCATTGAATATCTGCGCAACCCGATACATTCATTATTTTTAAAATAAAGTTCGATTATTTCCACTTTTTATGCAAGTGAGTACACCATAATTGTTAAAAAGTTTAACGATATTGAGAGGAACTTCAACGCACAAGTCACAGAACAGCTATCTAGCAACTACCGCACCTGATTGTTTGACCTTGTGGCAAGTGAAAAAAATGCGTAAACATCTAGAAATAATAAGAAAAAACAGCAAAGTGGTCGAAGGAATTTAGTCTTATCATTTACTCTGATAAATGTTTGGTTTAGTTAGGTTAGGTTATCAAATTTCAATCCTACATATTTTCTCAATGACTCGGCCGATTTTCAAAAACGAAACGGAAAAGTATAGAGAATAGAAAGCCCTTTTCATTGCGGTACCACCTGACCCCCTTCCCATTTGAAAAAAATGGGGGATGACACCCCCACCTAGAAGGTTGAAGATTTTGCAATCATTTTTGGGGCAAAAGTTGTCCCCCTCACAAACAAAATTGACGTGTTTTTGAATTTTCTGAAAAAAAAATTACCCTGGCCGTTATGCCTTGCGGAACGTTTTCGATGGGCCACCCTGTATGTAGAAAATGTGTCCGAAACGGGTAGGCAACATAAAAATACAGAGTGAGAAAAAGTCCGATAAGGAACTTTCGCCAATCAGAACTTTTTTATTGTCTACTCTTAGCAGATAGTTTGTTTTTAATTATTCATTAATAATTACACACTAAAAATGATTGAAACTGTGCATTTTGTATTTGAATCAATTTGCATTAATTTGTATAGCATTGTTATAATTTAGAATTTTTGTTGCAGATATTACAAAATTTGGGGAAAGTAGACAGAACGGCAGACGAGATCTTCGACGAACATTTACAGAATTTCACCAGACAACAGAACGCAGCCAACAGACTACAGAAAGAATTCAGCAATTATATTAGGTGTATAAGAGGTAAGCTTTCTTTTATTAATTCAGACTTTTGTCAAATTGTCAGTATTCTTTTTGTAATGGCATGATCTACACAGCAGGTAGGCTATGATGAACTTTAGTCAGTTTTATCGCCAGTCTACATGTGCCAGTGCGTTGATCCATATGCTGGCGCACGTACTGGCCAAAGAATTGGTAATCTGTCCACACGTTGTCCATTTTCGTGTTTTCCTGGATATCTTGCTTATGAGTAGAGATACAAAGATGCGGTTTTCACATTACTGCTCTTTTTTATGAACTAAAGATGCTACACACAGATTTGTCCTAGCCTCATTAGTTCAAAGATTTTCCTTCATTTAAGTAACAACAATCGGGGTTTCTAACAGGACGTTGTCTCCTCAACGAAAACCTCAGTAGATTGAACTGAAATACAGGGTGAATTTGAATTCTTCATATTTTTCGACCTCGTTTGTATCTTTGTTATCTTATAACGTATAGCTTTTTACGTAGAATCCAGTGGCGTAACTAGTTTTTCGTTGGGAGCTGTCGTTTTCGAAATATGACTCAAACATATATGTTTTTTTTAATGAAACCCCTGTATATTACTTTTTTATTTTACTTGCATTATTATGAGCTTGCTAAAAATTATAATAATCTTTATATTTAGCTTCAACAATATGGTAAAAAATGCATATAATAGTTTAATAAAATATTTTGATTTTACTTTATTTTATTTAACTAGATTTTTTTGCTTTTTATTGTATTATCTTAATAAACAGCACTGAAAATGAACATGTATTTCGTTGCCTTTAGATAATACACTGTCAATCAAAGCTATTATGCCCAATAATTTTACAAACAGAACTAGCGTGATATAGCCAATAATCAAAATTTGACATTGTATAAATTATTCTATTTTTTAAACGGTTTTATTTAGCTCGACCCGTACGGTATTTATTTATTTGTTTGTTTATTTGGGTCAAAATTAGAAATTGAAATTTAAGTACCTTCCTGTTGTCAGATTGATCTGAAATTTGGTACACACCTTTAGTTCCGATGAAAATACAATATAGTAATATCAATAACATTGTAAATCTAAGATGGCCGCCGGTACAAAATGGCGGCTTTTATATTTTTCCACAACCCCCTCAATATGGGTATCAAATGAAAGGGCTACACTAGTAGAACACTGTGATTATGACAAAATTTAAAATCCAAGATGGACGTCGTTACAAAATGGCGTATTAGGTGAGGGCATGAGTAGTCGTGTCCAGAACAGTTGTGTCCAAGATTGTGTGACGTTAGAAGGACAGATAAAAAAAATAGGTGATGAATTTGTGAAAATGTTGCGGTCCAACATTGACGTTACAAAAGGATTGGTAAATGGTGCTATAGGCCACATTACAGAAATTGTTTGGCCTCAGTTCCGTCGAACCCAAATGTACAAAACAGATGTACCATCAGTTTGGATTGACTTTGGCAGAGACGGCATACACGTTATACACCCGAAAGCCATACAGTTTCCAGCAAAATTCAATTATGGTACGGCTGAAAGAAGGATGTTACCCTTAATTTTGTCATGGGCATCCACCGTCCATAAAATGCAGGGCAGCACAGTCGACCATGCAGTAGTGTATTTGGGCTCCAAATTGTTTGAGGAAGGGCAAGCATACGTGGTTCTAAGTCGAGTCAAGTCTCTGGAAGGGCTATGTATTGAGGAATTAGATTGTAATAAATTATCAGGTAAAAAAACCATGTAATAATGATGCACTAAATGAATTAAATAGAAGGAGGAATATTCGGTAGGCATTTGCGTTAAATACTAAAAACCAGAAAATAAAAAATCGGTAAAAAAACTTTTAAGTTAAACGGTTTTATCTTATGTGCACTGAAAACTAGAAAATAATAATAACAATTAGGTATTTTGAACTTCTAGTTCAGAAATATTTTAGTACTAGGCAGAATAGCTTTTAGGCATATTAGACTAAAATAAAAACGTGGGGCTCCTCTGAAATCCTACCTATGGCAAAACATATCTTTATACTTTGGTAGATCATGAGCTCGGCGTTCGCTGGAGAAGCCGCCACGGCTGGTTATTGATTGTCAAAATCTCCAGTTACGATTATAGTAAGTCGATGCAATCCACACTTAGTATAGAAGAAAGTATTACAGCAATAGTTAATGGGCCCCACGTTTTTATTTTAGTCTAATATGCCTAAAAGCTATATTCTGCCTAGTACTAAAACATTTCTGAATTAGAAGTTCAAAATACCTAATTGTTATTATTATTTTCAAGTTTTCAGTGCACATAAGATAAAACCGTTTAACTTAAAAGTTTTTTTACCGATTTTTTATTTGATTGTCTAATTTAAACCGGCCTTACTATTATAAAGATAAATAATGCATTTTTTCGCCTTATTTAAGAAAACTCGATGTGTTAGAAGATAACTAGATACGAGGGGAGTTGACAAGTGCAATAATATCAATTTCGTCCTGTATTTCAGAAAGTAAAAGGGTTAGGATAAATATGTGTTTAGCATCTTTAGTGTCATAAAAAATTAATTAAAATTATAGTAATGTGAAAACCGCATCTTTATACCTCTACTCATAAGCGAGAAACCCTGTAAAACACACGAAAATGAGATACCCTGTATACTGGAGGATTCTTGCACATCAATGTTTTAATTTGTAATATTTTCGATATTGTGGCATATTCGGATACACCGGAAGTTGACAGCAGCTTTGTAATCTGCAATAGATTTGTTGCCCATTTTTTTTACATTTTATTTTTGTAACACAACAGAAAATGTATTTGTTTGTAATAAAAATAGAAATATTCGTGATTGTAATGATGAGATTAAGACATGAGTATTTCAATGTAAAGATATATATTTTAACACGGAAATGTTTTAATTCAGCTTCATGTTTATTTGATTTACTGTAAATGAGCAGAATGAGGTGTTAGTTTCTCTATACATAAACGACATCAAATGGAACGATATCGTATAGCGTTATTGAAAGAATCAAATAGGTTTAACGTATTGTTTATACCTGATTTACTGTTTAATTCATTTAAAATAATTTATCTACTTGAATTGGAGAAATTAATCTTTTTTTGTAGTTAAACTGTCATTGACAACAATCAAAGAAGTGCAATTTTATACAAAATGATGAGTTAGATGACGTTGACATTGAATTTTTACACAAGATAGAAACATTCTTGTTTTACGACAAAACTGCGACAAATTTAATACATTTCTGCGACATTTTTGCCTCATTTTTGTTTTGTTTCAAAATTCGGAGGCTTTTCAATGTCCCGTCTCGAGTCGGTAAAGATCAAAGTGTCTATGTTTTGTTCGTATATTTTACGACAAGTTGTCGGCACAGTATGGATGGCGTGTGCTGCCAATAGTGGAAGACCAGTGAAATCACACATGGTTAATAAAACTCATTCGCAACAACTAAACTTTTGTCCTTGCGGTGTGGACAATGAGGAAAATGCATGTTTTTAAATAATGGTTTTAAAAAATAGTTCATATAATTACAAATTGAACAAAAAAAAATCGTTGATATCGGTTAAGAAATGGCTCTAATATAAAATAATTAAATATTGTTAATTTAAATGGCCGGGCAAACGCTCTCTACCGCGCCTTGCCGCTGTGACGTCACCCGCCGTTCTTCTGGTTGAGTGGAGCCAGACGCGTGTTTATTTTACACAGTTTGCTTTTAAACGCTGTTGAATCCGAGTCGAAATTTTAGTTATTTGGGGTAATTAATACATAATTAGTAATTAGTGATATTTATAAATAGTAATGGATGAGCGAAAACAGAAAAAAATGGTCCAAGGCCATGAGAAGAGATGAAAAGAAAACCGTTAAATTATCCTCTATTTTTACGATTTATTGTTGTGAAGATCATTTTGATATAAGTTCATATATTTATGTATATTGTCTTACATAAGTATATGAAATTTGAATGTACAGGGTTATTCATTATATTTTGACACCCACATATAGCTTTAACTGCAAGTTTTAGAAGAAAACATTAAATAAAAAAGTTGCATGGTTTTTCTAATTCTAGATATACAGGGTGTCTCAAAAAAGGTGGTCCAGAAAATTGTAGGTATTTTTCGCTTTTCAACTGTCAATATTTCGTAAACATTTGAAGATAGGTATAGGATATTAGACATGAAATATATCTAGAATATCTAGAAACTACCGAAGAATCCAAAAATATATAGGGTGTTTCACTTAAAAAAGTAACTTAATTTTGGCGTTTGCTTATGGGACACCTTGTATAATATTTTCATTATTGATAAACAATTTATTTCCTATAATTTCTTAAAAAAACAATCTTTAAAAATAACAAAGGTAAGGGGGTGTCAAATTATAAAAAAAACTTTCTTTTTCACGCTATGCTCTGGAGTTACTTTTCCACGTACTAAACAAATATTTTTGTCCCTTTTCACTTCTACATAACCTACAGCATTATCTCCATACGTCTCCCTACCTGATCTGAAAAATAAATTTATTAAATTATTAAATATATTTATTAAAAAACATTAATATTTATAACTATATAAAAGTTCGTAACAGTATAGGTACCTACTTATACTTAAATATGCATCAGTACTACAAAGAATAAATGTTACATACCTCTCTGTTTTTTTCCTCGTAATTCAGCACCAATAGGTTGGGAATTTGTATTTATAAAAGCAGCCAACATAAAAGCATCGACTTGTGGCAAGTTATCTGATTGTGCTTTTACAAACCAGGAATCTGCCATTACTTAAAAAATTCTCAGAACACACAACACATACAAATAATAACTGCACAAAAAAGCATAAAAAGCTCCTTCAATCAACGCTAAAAGCAACAAAAATGTCTTAGTACGCCACCTAAATACGTACATAAACGTCAGACCAATAGAATATCGTTTCAATTCGCGAGGCGTCGTTTGCGTTGACAGTGAAAATAATTAAAAATTGAACAGTTTCTGGCGAAAAATAAAATATATGCATCTTCCTCATTAGTCCCAAATTTGTCTTGGTCTGGATCCTGTATAATACAGGGTGTCTCAGAAATAAGTGCAAGTATTTTAACTGGTAATATAGTTCAACCCCAGAAACATGCCTATAAGGTTTTTTCGAGAAAAAAAAAATTTGAAAATTCGAAATTTTTGAAAAATTTTTTGGAAATTTCTTTAGTTTTTAGTTAAAAAACATAATTTCTTGATAATATGGCAACATAGGTAATAGATTAAATTTACAAGAAAAAAAATTCAGAAAATATCCAGTGGTTCTGAAAATTTTAGCAAAAAATCATTTTTTTTAAATTTTCAAAGTAAAATAACTCCCTTATTTCAGACTTATTTGAAGAACGATAAAGAGAAAATATGTTTTTTTATCGAGATCTACCACCCCTTAAAATACTTGCACTTATTTCTGGGACACCCTGTATATTATCATAAATAGTATATTATACAGGGTGGTCCGAATTGTATTAGAGAAACTTCAGCAGTATTCTGCAAATATAAATAAGTAAAAAGGTTCCTATAAAACTGTGTCCCAAAATGCTTCGTTTCGGAGACTTCGATTTTTTCAAAATAATTTCTGAACTAATCCGATATTTGGATGAAAATTGGTGTCTGGATGGTTTTGACATGACAAATTCAATTCCAATGTTAATATTATTCCTACTTGTAGGGAGCGCCACCTACAGGTTTTTTAACTATTTTGAAGAGTAATAAATTTTAGCCCGTACATGTATTACACTACTGAGAGAAAAAATACATAATAATATATACATTTTCGGCGATTTTTAAGCAAAAATTATCTCTTGGTAAAAAAAGTTATTTCAAATCGAAATAATCAATAAATGTCATTATTGACGAAATATAAACATTTTGACAAGATAGTTAAGTAGATTGAAATAATAAATTTGGATATATTTTTTGTGCCAGAGGTTCAACAGCAATTGATATATCATATTTTTTTTAAATCTCTTGTCGTTAGTATCTGAACCACATAATATAAATATTAATTAATAATCGTTTTTTTTTTCAAAAGGAACCGAATTATTTTTCTAAATTTATTTTTCTTCCTAACAGAGAGACAAACACAATGTTTGAAAGTACTGGCCATGCTCTGCTCTCTAAAGTCTAAATGTAAGTACAATGCTTGTAAAATTTGTTGGCACCTATTCGCAATTGTACTATTCTTCTGTCCGCTAAATCTTTCCATACTCAAAATTAAACTAATGTAGATTAAGGTTAGACGACCTTGACAATCAGTAAATAATTTTGTTACTAATATTTGTATACAAAGTGTAAATAGTTATATGATGTTATATAGACAAAAAGAATGTACGCATATGCGATATTAGAATTTTAAAATAGGAAAAGGTAAATATATCAACAAGTGTTAGCTAATATTATACTACGATAAAGGTTATATAGGTGTGACCTTGAGCTTTGATCGTTTATAGTTTAAACTCCATTGTTTTGTTAATCGAAAAATCGAAATTTTTTTTATGCTGGTATGAAATTTATAAAAAATATATCATCCATCATGTCAAGATTATTGATAAGTAATTTCATTAATTGTATACGCGTGTAAATTTTAATAATTTTACATCTGTAATGTACCATTACGTATATATTCGGAGTCGTAGTTCAAACGAAGTCATTTCTGGAGTTTACCATAAATTCTGCTGATTTTCCAATGAGGATGGCTCACCTTTGTATAGTTTTCTCCAAAGAGGAGTTCCACAACTAAGTTTCTTATCCAGAATTAACCCTAGATACTTAACTTCTTCGGCTAATGCAATGAGTGTAAACAGGAGTTTACACTTTCAAATAATCTGTGCAAATCTATTTTGTACGGTTTACGCAAGCTATTTTGTACAAAATTTGCGCAGATCTACAGTACGTCTGCTGGATCTGTGTTTATGAAAGGAATGCGGACAAAAAACATTTAAATAAACAGCAATATATTTTATACGTCGACTTGACGAGTACCGCAAATCGCTCCGCCCACTCACTTTATTGGCTACTTGCAAATTTGTCGAATTTTTATTGATGGGACGCGTCGTCTAATTTTTTACGAAAAACATCGAGAGAATATCGTTTCCCCTCTCACGGATACCCCGTAGCTACAGAACGGACAGACGTACTGTAGACGAATGTTTGGACCAGAAGTATCACTGACTGTGATCAAGTGTCATCATCATCATTTAGATTATTCCGTCTGCTGCTAAAGAAAAGCCTCCTGCAACTCTAGGCATTTCTTTCTATTTTGTGCCACTTGAATCCAGTTTGAACTTTCCACTGACCAGAATGAACACCCGTACCTACTTAGTCAACACAACAAAAATAAGGAAAACCGCTTACCTCGGGCATATAATGAGACACGAAGAATACGAACAGCTTCAGCTAATACTTCAAGGAAAATAAAAAAGAAGAAATCGTGGCTTCGAAATATACGAGATTGGACAAATATTTCAAACGGGAATACTTTAATACATCGAGCCCAATATAGGGAAGATTTTGCCATAGTAGTCGCCAACCTCAACGGAGACGGCACCTAGGAGAAGGAGGAATCCAGTTTCCAGTCACTCTGTTAATATCATTTGTTCATCGACTAACAGGTCGTCTTTTGCTTCTATAATAAATAATAATAATTAAAAAAATAAAACACTAAATCACCACAATACACCAAAACACTTTTACTTTTACACTGGACGCACGTTTCGCTAACCATGTTAGCATCATCAGCAGATGATGATAAACTAAAATACAATCTACAATTGGAGCGTTTATATACTCGCTCAGTGGGCACAGAGTGGGCGTGGCAAGATCTAGCCAACCGTGTCAGAACCCACCGAGCGTAACAGTTAGATTTCCGCCACTAGAGTAGTAGGAACAAAGAACTTGAAGGAATTGGACCGTTGTATCTGTTCATACCATCTTTACATTTATTAATTCTGATGCTTTCATATGCATCTAGAATGTGTCAGAATCCTCGAATAATATTTATTATGGCCCTAAAAACGTGATTTCCACAAGCGCCTTCTTTTTGGAGATGAATCCAAGTTCACAACAATTGGCGTTGTGTCTGCTCAAAATTGTAGGTGGTGGTCGGACGAAAATCCAAATTTTATCATTGACAGTAAAAATCAATATTTCCAAAAAACAAACGTGTGGTGCGGTATCGTTAACGATAAACTAGTAGGGCCGTTTTTCTCTCGCCAAAATTTGACTGGTGTAACATATTTACAACGTGTATATTACGTGCCAGTGAGGCCAGTGGCACGCAGGTCCTTCGCTGGCGCCACTGGCTTCACTGGCACACAAGTCCTTCGCTGGCGCCACTGGCCCCACTGGCAAGCCGGTCCTTGGCTGGCCTCACTGGCACGCCAGTACTTCGCTGGCGCCACTGGCCTCACTTGCACGCCAATCCTTCGCTGGCGCCACTGGTCTCACTGGCACGCTAGTCCTTCGCTGGCGCAACTGGCACGCCAATCCTTTGCTGGCGCCACTGGCCTCACTGGCACGCCTGTACTTCGCTGGCGCCACTGGTCTCACTGGCACGCCAATACTTCGCTGGCGCCACTGGTATCACTGGCACGCCAGTCCTTCGTTGGTGCCACTGGCCTCACTGCCACGCCAATTCTTCGCTGGCGCCACTGGTCTCACTGGCACGCCAATACTTCGCTGGTGCCACTGGCCACACCGGCACGCAAGTCCTTTGCTGGCGCCACTGGCCCCACAGGCACGCAAGTACATCTTTGGCGCCGCTGGCCTCACTGGCACGCCAATCCTTGGCTGGCGCCACTGGTCTCACCGGCACGCCAGTCCTTCGCTGGCGCCACTGGCCTCACTGGCACGCCAATACTTCGCTGGCGCCACTGGCATGCCAGTCCTTCGCTGGCGCCACTGGCACGCAAGACCTTTGATGGCGCCACTGGCCTCACTGGCACGCAAGTCCTTCGCTGGCGCCATTGGTCTCACTGGCACGCAAGTACTTCGCTGGCGCCACTGGCCTTCGAGGGAAAAATATAATTTAACTGAGGAGGCCTTGTTTTGGTATTTAGGCATAACTTTTAATTCTAAACAACTTTTCCTAATGACAGTTTGCTGATTTTTTTGAAATAAGGGTACTTTACTCTTGTGCATTTTTTATATTTTTTGCCCTACCTTGTATACTATTTGACTTTTAACCATTCTAAATCCACCTAATATGATAATCGAACATGCACCAACTTTTGGCAATATAAGAATTTTTGTAGTACAATAAATAAAAAAAAAATCTCATATGTTGCACACTAAAATGACCACACTGTAAGTATATGCCAAACATTTGTGGTATTTAGAACTTCCAGTGGTACTAGTTAAATTTCTATTCGTATAATTAAATGAAACTATTATAACTAATAATTTTAATTTATTTTATATTTTGTATAGATATTTTTATTAAATTGCTAATTGTTAAACAACTTAACAACAGGACATACTTATTCACAGCGGTTGAATGTTTATTTATTAATTATGCAAAACAGGAAAATGTGCATATAATGTCACTATTTCCAGCGATACGTAATTTAAACTAAAGAAGAATTAAATCTCTTCTCACGGTAACGTTTAATCGTAACTTATAACAAAAAGAAGCATTGTACTGTAATATATAACTCCTGTTAAGATTGGTGTCTGATAGTTCCTTCCCAGTAAGCTACCACAGTAACTCTCTCTCTCTCTTAATTGTTTTATACCAGTGCGGAAAAAAAATCAAAGTTAATGTTAGCTCGTAGATCATAAACTACTTTTATATCGTAGTTTAACGGACTATAGTAAAATAATGTCATGTTTCATGCTAAATTATTTTCAAATTACATTGAAATCGCTTAACAGGTTTTTATATGACATATTCACGTCATTTAATTAAAACAAATGATTTACCAATCCCGTGTAAAGCTTCATTCAGAACCTCGCAATTAGTGGATTAAATTAGTGGTTTCAATTAGCGTAGAAGTATGTTCCTTTAATTTCAACGTAAGCATTCAGAACATCAAAATTAGTGGTAGAAAAACGAAGAAGTAGTCTTTGAATTATTTTACGATGACTTGTAGATACATGGATTTTCTATAAAAGAGCCAATTACGGTAAATTCATTTTCTTCACTTCCAACGACAGGTTTCTGCCTAATAGGTTTTTTATAAACCACACTACCAGGCGAAATAGGACAAGAAGTTTTTCAAAGAAACTCTTATCAGGAAGATTCCTATTTGGATATCTTTGAGCATAAGCCCTTGAGACCAAGAAGCAATTTTCCTCACAAAATAATATCACTAGTAACATACCTATTCGTTCCGCCAGCAGATACTGCTTTATTTTTCTTGATAAAACAACGAATACTTACTTATTAAACTATTGTAGGTTAATTTAAGTAAACTGTTATAAATTGTAAGTAATAATGTCCATAAACTAATATCGACTTTGAAAATAGTTACTAACTGTCATTAGAAAATTGCCATGGCGGCACCAGCCATCTTGATTACAATTTTATTTAAAAATCGCTTTTTATTCAAAACCTGAGCTAGATAGGTATAGGAAACCCTAATATAGTTTGAAAGAGCATTTGAATCTGCTTCGATTTATTTACAAAAATACAGGCTGTTACATTTGAAATATCAAAGTTTTTATATAAAATATATCCTTAAAATAGATCAGCAACTTTTGCCCTGTATAAATTTAAGGAACCAATACCATTTTTCAGTAAAGTTTATTTCTATACCTTTAAACTCAGCATAAGAATTAATTCTGAAAAGTAATGTACGGGGTGTTAATAGTCTATTCTATCGTAGCATGCAAATTTAAATATTTTTAAATATATCAAAAACTAAAGACTTTAAACATATTTAACCCTTTAAATGCCTTTTTTGGGACCAAGGATCCAAAAATAAAATAAAATACCGGGTGTTCCATAAGAAAAAATACAACTTTGGTATGGATCTTAGTTCTGAAACACCCTGTACATTTCAAAATAATTTTAAATTGTGCACATTACCTCCCCACATATACCCATAAAACATTTTATAATCAACCGAGGCGAATGAGGTGCGCCACCCTGTATACCTATTCGCTGCACTGACTCGTATTAGCACTATTAC